CCCCCCCAGGCTTGTGCATGCCGTGCTGTCAGCATTCGGTGGTCGCCAAAAGGCCATTTTTTCGCGCCCTGCCTCGCGCCATTCTCAACCCCGGCTCCACACAGCCGTATTCTTGTCCACCACTACCATCATTCTTTGCATTGTTTAGACTGGTGCAGCGACTGGGTAGGCTTGCTATATCCTACATGGTTCGCCACCTGATTCGCCACCAGGCGAGTCCCGCAGTCTCGTTGCTGCTACCCGACATCTCCCGCACACGGCACCCGTCGGCTGGTACCCGTGATGGGCCTTGGTCTCTCTTGGCGTTGGGCTGGCGGCATCGGCCGAAAACCACGACCTTTTTTTAAGGGTTTTTGGAGGCGGGGGAAGGGAGGGGGTGTCGATGGGCAGTTTGATGTGCGTCGGACTCACGAGCGTGAGCGTATGGGGATGGGGACAGGGTGGACCAGCGGGCAATGATCGACGAGGAGAACGGGCTGCGTGAGCTTTTTGCCACCCGGCGGGAGGATGCGGCGATCAGCAACCCGTACGTGGGTCTGGTCAATGTTCATGGCGAGATGGACACGTTCCGGTACGCGGCCGAGACGCCCGAAGAGGCGGCGGTGCCTAAGCTGCTGACGCGGGATCGTGTGGCGATTGTGCCCGGCGAGTCATCGGTGGTGGACGCGGCGACGTTTGCGTCGCGGTGGGAGGCGTTTTCCAAGGGCGTGTTCAAGGGCATGAACTGGAACAACATGTTTGTGGCCGGTGGTGCGGTGCTGTCGAACGTGCAGGTGGCGCCATCACCCGGAGCGCAGGGCTCGGACATTGACATTTTCCTCTACGGGCTGCCGACCGACGCAGCGGCCAACGCCAAGCTCCGCGAGATCCATGCGACGATCCAGGCCAACTCTGGCGCTAACTGCGACGTCATCCGGACGCACCGGGCGGTGACGATCATCGGTGAGTACCCGTTCCGGCACATCCAGATCATCCTCAAGGTGTACAAGTCGCCAGCCGAGGTCCTTCTCGGCTTTGACGTCGACTCGTGCTGCGTCGGCTATGATGGGACGAGCGTGTGGACGGCCAAGCGGGCGCGGCGGGCGCTCAACAAGGGCTACAACCTGGTGAACATGACGCGGCGGTCACTGACGTACGAGACGCGGCTGAAGAAGTACGCCAAGCGCGGGTATGCTGTGGCGGTGCCGAACCTCGACAAGGCGCGAGTTGACCCGAACATTCTCACGCGGAGCGAGAAGAACGCGCAGGGTCTGGCCAAGCTGCTCATCTACGAGTACCAGTCGCGGCACGGCTCATTCCGGAAGTCGTACTCACGCGAGACCGGGACGGCAGTCAACCAGTACACCGTGGATGCTGTCGAAGAGTACGAGACCATCCACACGGCGTCCGATTATGCTGACGTGTTCATCCCGTGGGGCCCGCGCTGGTACTCGAAGCAGATCCTTCGCCTGCTCTCCAAGAAGGACCGGGCGCAGTATTTCCAGCAGGCGCGCTCCAACTTTCAGCACAAGCACATCTTTGTGTCGGGCATTGACGCCGCCGTCAACGGCCCGGTCGGCCACGAGGTCTGGTGCATCCACTGCCGCTCCAAGCTGCAGCTGGAGGCCGATGCTTCTGGCAAGTACGTGAGCAACCAGCTGACCTGGCTTCGCGACACGCCGGCCATGCAGGACTTTGAGAACGGCCGGACGCGGACCCTCATCACCGGCTCGTTCTTCCCCACCATCGAGTCCAACTGGATGAAGAACTGCTACCTGCCCGACGGCGCCCCGGCCCCGTCGCCGCACCCCCTTCAGATCAGCGGCGGGGGCGCGAGCAGCTCGCGCTATGGCGACGGTGGCTTCAATAAGCGGAAGTCATCCAAGGTGGCGAAGAAGAAGCAGGCTGCGAGGAAGCAGACTGCCAAAAAGTCATCGTCCAGCATGTTTGGTGGATCCTCCAAGCAGTCGAGCCCGTTCGGTTCCAAGCAGTCGCCCAGCCTGTTTGGCACCAAGATAGCCAACCCATTCGGCGCGCCCGCCCAGCCACAGCCCGCCGAGAACCAGTACGCTGCCAACCCGTTCGGCGCGCCCGCCCAGCCGCAACCGGCCCAGAACCAGTACGCTGCCAACCCGTTCGGCGCGCCCGCCCAGCCGCAACCGGCCCAGAACCAGTACGCTGCCAACCCGTTCGGCGCGCCCGCCCAGCCGCAGCCGGCCCAGAACCAGTACGCTGCCAACCCGTTCGGCGCGCCCGCTCAGTCGGCGCCGGCCCAGAACCAGTACGCTGCCAACCCGTTCGGCGCGCCCGCTCAGTCGGCGCCGTCGCTCTCGGCCAATGACATGCGGCGACAGGCCGGCATGGGCGGGTTTGGCCAGTCGCAGCCGCAGCCGCAGTCGCCGAACCCGTCGTTCGGCGCTTCCGCGAGCGGCACCGCCGCCGGCTCCCTGCAGTCTGTCATCGCATCCAAGGTCCAGCCGTCGATGAACCCGATGTCGGTCGCGCTCATCATCATCAAGCTCTTCAACAAGGCCGGCATGATTGACTCGGACGCCAAGAATACCCTCAAGGACCTTGCCCTCCAGCAAGACTACCGCATCTGGGGCGCCATCGACTCGTTCCACATCGACAACGACGTTGAGGATCTTGCCGACACCTTCAACCGCGTCATCAAGATCACCAGGGCCAACAGTACCTTCTCTGGCCCGAGCAACTTTTAAAACAAATGCTCCACACCCCGTCGCCCATTGCTTTGAAGCAGAGTGCAGGATGTGCAGGTATGTCCGCAGCGGGGTATTCCTGCGGCAAAACTGATGCGGGGCGTGTCGGCCAAGTCGAGCCGGATGCGACCCGGCAGGGCTCGGACCACCGGCCGCGTCACCACCACCTCACACACACACACACCCCAAACCACACGACGACCAGCAGAGGTAAGACTTCGCTCGCACCGGCGACTACCAGTAGCAAGGAAAGGGAGGGGCGGCGCATTAGGCAGACAGGAACAGGTCGGGTGCAAGCGAGGACAGCAGACAGTGCCGCTAGTAGAGCAAGGAGGACGAGCCGGACAGGCCCACGAGGTTAGCCGACGGCGTCGAGGACCAACCACCCACAGCGAGGTCAGGCCAGGTGGCTGGTGATCAGACGAGACAGAAAGCCAGCCAGACGACCGACCCCCGGGACCGACCAGGAGGGTAGCCAGGCAACCAACAAGGCGATCGACAAGGCGATCAACAAGGCAACCGACAAGGCGACCGCCCAGGCAGCCGACAGGGCGACCGACAAGAGCAAAGGCCACCGCCCACGGTCTCGATCGCACAACGTCGATCTCGGTGACAAGACGAGGCGGTACGGCCAGAGAGGGCATGGGCAGCAGGAACGGGAAGTCGATGAAGCTCTCTGACTTTGAGAAGGACGCCGTCGTCGGCGATGGTGCGTTCGGGCACGTGTATCGTGTGGTGGAGAATGCGACCGGCAAGGTGTATGCCCTCAAGTCGATGATCCGATCGCCAGATCACTCGGACGAGGTGTGGGAGAAGCTCAAGCGCGAAGTCGAGCTGCAGCGCAAGGCCTCGTCCTCGCCGTTTGTCACCACCTATCGGTATACATTTGAGGAGAACGAAAAGGTCTACATTGTTCTCGACTACATCGGTGGAGGTGACCTGTTCTACCAAGTCAAGTCGGCCAACGGCGGACTCCCGCTCGATGCCGTCCGGTTCTACACTGCCGAAGTCATGGTCGCGCTGGAGCACCTGCACAGCCTGGGCATTGTCTTTCGCGATCTCAAGCTCGAAAACGTGCTCATCGCCGAGGACGGACACGTCAAGCTCTCAGACTTTGGTCTCGCCAAGCAGCTTCTGCTGCGGGCGTCGGAACAGCGGTCGCGGCGGCGATCGCGCACGCGGGCCCGCGACGATGCCGCTGCTGGCGGCGACTCGGGCTCGCTGCGGTCGACATCAACGTTTTGTGGGACCAAGTACTATATGGCGCCCGAGATGGTCAACAACCGCCGATATGCGATGAGCGTCGACTTTTGGTCGTTGGGCGTCCTCGTCTACTCGATGCTGACCGGTCACTACCCGTTCATGTCACCTGACCGCACCGAGTTGTTCAACATGATCCGCCATGACGAGGTGCTGTATCCCGAGACGCTGCCGGACGATGCCGTCGACTTTGTCGATGCGCTGATGGAGAAGGACACCGCGCTGCGACTCTCGTCGTTTGACGATATCCGTGCCCATCCTTTCCTCCGCTCCATCGACTGGGACGCCGCCGCCGCACGGGAGCTGACCCCGCCGGCCGTCCCAGGCGACATTGCCGTCGACATCTACAAGGAGCTGACCGGACAGGCCCCGTCGCCATCAAGCTCACGCCGCAAGAAGCGCCGGCACAAGTCTCGCTCGCGCAAGAGCGACACCACCGCAGCCGCAGCCACTGGTGCTGCCGGTGTTGACAGCAACGTGTCAAGCCCGCATCACCGCCACCATCGTCGTCATCACCGCCACCATCGTCACCGCCGAAGGAGATCTGGCAAGGTCGAGCCCAAGCCGCACAAGACTAGGAAGCGCAAGAAGAAGCGCTCGTCGCGTCCCAGCCCGCGGGAAGCATCACCGTCGGGTGACGAGCAGCCGCCGCCGGTGGTCAGCCAACAGGAGTTGGCCACGGCTGGCACGTCAGCAGCAGCAACAACCGTCAGTGTGCAGCTCAGCGGAATGTCGACAATATCTGACGACGAATGGTTCTCCAAGTCGGCGTCGGCAGGCTACAGCTCGGACGAGTAGGTGTAGGTGTACTCGCCGTCATCGGACTCATCCTTGCCCAGCGCGGGCAGCCGAGCCGGCGAGCTGCGCGGGGCGGCAGAGTCGAGGCCCGGCGCCGAGCGCGGATACCACGGCGTGCCCTCGAGCATCGGCTGTGGTGGCAGCGGCTCCGGGCGACGCTTCGATGACGTGGAGGGCGTCGACGCATTGCGCTGGCCCGAGCGCGGCGGCGCAAGATTGGGAGCCAGCGGGAGCGGAAGCGGGCGCGGGCGCGGCGCCTCGCGGTCGTCGCGTGGCGTGGCCGGGACAGACTCTATGGCATCGTCAGGTGCCTTGGTCGACTTGGTCAGCCAGCGCGGACCGAGCCAGGCGATAAGCACGGCGCCAATGGGCGCAGTAACAATGATGATGAGGACAGCCAGAGTGAGGATGGCTCGCCACGCTCGATAATGTCTTGCGACTCGTTGCGGGAGCGGGCAGTGTCGAGGGCGATTGAGCCGAGCGCAGCCTGGACGGTGGCCTTGGGAAGCCAGGCAAAGGCCACAAAGATGCGCTCGCGCCACGAGAGCGTGGTGCCGAGCACACACGAGACCGTGATGGCGAAGCGGATGACAATCGAGATACAGATCATGATCAGACCCTTGCCCACCACCTCGCCCTTGACGGCGTCGAGCTCGACGGCAGCGCCAATGAGCGAGAAGAGAACGATCTCGGCGGCAAAAGTCCAGGCGAGGCGGAAGATGTTGGCGACAGGCGCAGTGGCTTCGGCGCCCCAGGCTTGACGGACGACAAAGCCAAAGACCATGGTGCCGAGCGCGCCAGTGCCAGTGACCTCAAAGTGGCGCCCGCCAAGAGTGGCGCCGAGTCCGCCGAGCGCAACTCCGATCGTGCGCCAGCCAAGCGGAGCCGAGGCGAGCGGAATGGCAAGAACGCCGAGGATTGTGCCGAGAACGAGGCCACCAACAAGTTCAAACGGGCCGCGGAGGATGTTGAGGAGGAGCGAGCCCGAGGCAAAGGCGATGCCCAGAAAGGCACCAAAGCCCGAGATGGCCATGACGTCATCAAGGCCAGCAGCGGCAAGGATCATGGTGGGGATTCCAGCATCGACGCCGTAGCCAGCGCGCTGGAGCTTGAGTAGCGAGGGGACAACAACAGCTGGCGAGACAGCCGAGAGGACAAAGCCGAGCAGCAGGGCCCATGCCACGGGGAGATCGAGGAAGAGCATAGCAAGAACACCAACTGCAGCGGCCTCGACCAAGACTGGGATGGTAGAGAGACGCAGAGTGGGCATGCCCATAGCCTTTAAGGCCGGAAGAGAGAGGCCCAGACCGCCACGGATGAGGATGACGGCCAGGGCGGACGACTTGAGCACGCTCGCCCATTCATCATCAAAGCCATCGAGCAGACCACCTGGCACATTCCTTAGAACCAGTCCAGCCACAAGCATGCCAAGGAGCGGAGGCATAGCCAGATAGGGAGCCACATGACCAGCAAGGGCAGCACCAGCAAAGAGGACGACCAGTGCCATGGCTCGACCACCGCCCAACTCGCCGTCGTCTTCGCCCACAAAGTACACCACTGCTCCTCCGAGTCCCGCAAAGCACATACCAGCAATACGGGCATGCCATAGTGTCCACCGCATGAGTGGGGGAGGGGAACTCGCCATGTCGGTAGTGGCTGGCGTCGAGTGTCCAACTCGGTCGCCAGTGGCCGCAAGAGACGCGGCAGGCGGAGGAGGGGGGGGGGGGGGCGGTTCGTCGCAGCGCGCAGTGACGTGGTGGCGCAGTGATGGCGATACGATGGTGCAGCCAGAGTACAGTGACGGCTAAAGTCCGATGGTGTGGCGGCAAGTGCTGTAACTCAGCAGGCGACTCAATCAGCCGAGTCTGACGACCTGATGGCCTGTGCTATGACCCAGATGATGCTGCTTGATGAGATGCATGGCATTCACTCGATCGCAGCTCAGTCCCCATCACCATCACCATCACCATCACCATCACCCCACTATCACCATCACCATCACCATCACCATCACCATCACCATCACCATCACCATCACCATCACCATCACCATCACCATCACCATCACCATCACCATCACCACCACCATCACCACCACCATCACTATCACCATCACCATCACCATCACCATCACCATCACCATCACCATCACCATCACCATCACCACCACCACCACCACCACCATCACCATCACCATCACCATCACCACCACCATCACCATCACCATCACCATCACCATCACCATCACCACCACCACCACCGTCACCATCACCATCACCACCACCGTCACTATCACCATCACCATCACCATCACCATCACCATCACCATCACCATC